TTGACTCCCTAATAGTCTCTATCATCAGCAATGTAACTAAGAATCATAAGTGCTCTATTAACCACATGTTTTTCCCATCAAGCTATCAGCATAACTACATATAAATGCAAACAGCCCCGCGGTGCGTGCACAGACACACTGTTCGACTAATCTCAGATGTCCAAGTATGTTGGAGGGACTTTAATGCCAGGTTGTAGACATTCACACACACACACACACACACACACACACAAACCTAAATTAGGCATTTCCCCTTGAATGCTGTTACGTCCATTTGGATCTATAAATATTCAGCATCTCTCAGTGGTGCACCGTTGCTACAAGCACGTCACACATGCTCTCATTTTTGTGCTCTAGTTCAGTGTGTTTACCTATGTAGGTGTGTGTGTGTGTGTGTGACAGGGTTGCAGGTGAATCTCAGTGTGAGTGATGCCAGCGTACGCCGCACACACACACACACACACACACACACACACACACACACCAAGGCATCTCTTCTCCTGGTCCTTGTCAGTCGCTGAAGCACTCGGTCCAACCAAACTCAATTAAAGCGTTGGTACAGCGGGCGGGGAATGAATGAGAGAGTCGACACAGGAGTCAGCAGACGGACAAAGAGGTCTTAATTGATCTTGCTCCCTCCCTCTCTGTCTCTCGCTGCAACTTCATCACAATTAAAACGAAATTACGGCGAATCGCAGGTGCAGCTGCTGCACCGCGTGGCACTGATGGAACCGTTTCATTTTACAGTTGTGATGTATGAGCGCAATTAAGTAAGAGAAATAAAAAGTAGTAATCAGAGACATCTTTTTGATTTTTCTTCCTACAATACACTCATGTTCGATAAGTTGAAGGACACAAATTCTCACCTTTCTTTCCTTTCAAACCATTCGGACTGTCTACTGTCCAGCAATGCAAACCTCTGCACCAGCTTCCTATGCAGGGCTTTATACATTGATTGAAGGCGACCCAGCCATGCATCCATGCAGTCACCTGAATCGTCCCCCCCTCAGACTTCAGAAGAACCATTTTAGTGAAGCACCTTACTGGGCATTGCTCTGCCCCCTCTCTGAGGAGCTACTGCACAGAACCCTCCTGCTAGTCGATCAGCTGCACTTTCCTAAGAAGTAGGATGCTCTGAGACTTAACTCTTTGGGGTCATTTTAAAAACGAAGAAGAGAAAGTTTTCTAAAAAAAAAGAGGGGAAAAAGAAGTCATAAGACACTGGGGTAATTGTGAGCACAGAGGGCTTTTAGCACACACCACTTAGCAACAAGGCCGATGTACAGTTTGACACATTTAACTTCCTGCGAGGGAGACGGAGACAGGAACAAGTTGATGTAAAATGCAAGTTAAAGCTGTGGATTTGCCTGTGAGCAATCCTCAACGCTAGTTAATTTTAGATGATGGGAGGACTTTGAACGAGGGAGAGAAGCATCTGTTCAGGATGGGGGGGAAATTGCTTTTAAACACTGCTTAAAGAAGGAGAGAGATGAGGGAATGTGCTATCCAAATAGATGGAGCCCACTATTAAAGATGGGCCAGGGGCGTGGACAGGATGGATGGCTTGAAGAAGAAATTGTGCCACTTTTTTAGATTATCTAACTTGTCTGGGAGGTGGCCAATACATTTTTCATTGAGTCGGGGAGCATTCCAATATGGGTCTCGGTTTCAAAGAATCCTAAATCGGGAGCCTTTGGAGCTTAAGAAGCATCTGGAACACGGACACACATTTTCAAGGCAGTGTCTCATTACAACGAGGATTCCTATGGGACAATTAATTGCGAGTATAAGTGAACATGAGATCTGTAATTGAGTCCCGCATTTCCATTAATGGACTGTAGTAGCTGTGAATCTTTATGTGCTTATTTTGAGTACACAGGAAGTAAGAACAGTGTAAAATATTAGAGTTTTCTGGCAGCTGGGATGCCACAAAAATACTGTAAAATAAAAAAAAAATAGTCATCTAATGAAAGTACAGTAATTTTCTATATTTAAAGTACATTTTCTAGCCTCAGTTTTATATGATATCATGTGTAATTGTTGGACTTTTTAATGTTTAATGAATATTTATATGTGTTAAAATAATGAAATGACCTATTATGTATAATATTGATAATATATACAAATAATGATCGAGATAGAAAAAGTGATAAATGATGTATATAATATTAAAAACTGCATTTTGACAGATTACCAATGCTTATAGATATTATACACTAAACTTAAAACTTTTGTAATTATACAAGGCATGTCTCGTTTAACAAACTAATTGCGAAATTTAAAATTACAGAACCGATACTTCTTTTTCCATGAACTGTCACTCGTGTCTCTTTTTTAAAAAATATATTTACAGCAACATACTTGAATTTTACAATTTAATCTATGAAATAAAAAAGGAAATATTTGTGAAACTGCGATAAATTTGTGAATGTATTTTAACGTTCTTTTAATGTCCAAAAATTTTCTTTGAAAAAAGGTGGAAATTTTACATTAAATTTGAAATCATATGTTTTATTTTAGGTGGCTCGGTGGTTAGCACCGTTGCCTCGCAGCTAGAAGGTCGCTGGTTCACATCCCGGTGAGGACACCCGGGATCTTTCTGGGTGGAGTTTCCATGTTCTCCGTGCAGCGTGGGTTCTCTCTGGGTTCTCCAGCTTCCTCCCACAGTCCAGAAACATGTTGAGGTTAATTGGTGATTCTAAATTGTCCGTAGGTGTGAATGTGAGTGTGCTTGGTTGTCTGTCTCTAAATGTAGCCCTGTGATAGACTGGTGACCTGTCCAGGGTGTCCCCTGCCTTCACCCTGAATCAGCTGGGATAGACTCCAGCCCCCCATGACCCTAGTGAGGATTAAGCGGTGTATAGATGATGGATGGATGTTTTATTTTACATTAGACATTAAAAAAACATAAAAAATGTAAAACAATCTGTATAAAAAAAGTTAAATAACTTGTATTTACAGTTCAGACTAGAAGATGAACTATTCTTCCCTTGCCTTTGGTACAGTAATACGCCTGCTTATTTTCTACTGATGATGGAACAAAAGATTTGTGTTGTGCTGCTTTTAAAATGCTGTTAATTTGCTTTTTAGCGAGTACAAAACTAAATAATGTCACTGAATGAAATGATGCAGCCTCCACTGGAGGTTCACAGGCAGGAGTTGCCCGGCCACCGGTCATTGCCACCTCTTTAAATAGTAATGACGACTGCCACAGAGATTTCAGGTGCAGCATCTGACGGCAGGTAGCCTTGGCTCAGAGGGCCGAAAAGAGGAAACCCATTGCTGCTTCTCCTCAGGTTCCCCTGCATCCCCACACTGGGCGTTTAGTCATTGCTCTGCATGCACCAAAGTAAAACAGAGGTTGTGCTAAAAAGAGCAGCAGCATAAAACAACAGATCTGATTTCCTACCAAGTGAATTGACACCACCGCTGGGTCGGCCCTCCGAACGCAGATTTCTCACCATTATTTGTTCAGACAAGCTGATTCGTCCCAACTGCTCGCCTGCGTAATTACTCTCGCAAACAGGCACATAGCCGTCAACTCTCCATACCTGAGTGACAGGGCAGCGCATGATCCCACCTGCTGGCCTCTCACTTTGTTCTTTGCCTGTTCGACTGAAACACAGATGCCGGCGCGAGACACATAAAATCTGAATTCAGGCTGAAAACACGTCCTTTCTCGCCCGCACCGTCTCAGTCACGCTCCAACAGATGACATTTGCGGAGGCAGAAAAATAGAGGGCAGGCTGTTTTTTTTTTGTGGGTTTGGAATGATGAGAGGAAAAAAAAAAAGAGAAAGGGATGATGAATAAATGAATAATACATCTGTGCTGTCATTCCTCTCTTCCTGCTCCACCTCCCTCTCTTCCTGTGTCATCTGGAGTTGGTCCTGTGAGGCGGTCTGATCTTAGTTGGGATTGTCAGGTACGGTCGACAGCAAAGTGACACGTTGACGCCGGCCCCTCTGTGACACATGAAGCAGCTCTTTTGTTAAATGGGGTTGACAACCTAAATAGAAATTGTTTACATGCGAACGAGTGCCAGCAGGTCTGCGGGTCCTTTTAAGTGATATTACAAAAAAAACAGCGCTTGAAGGAAGATCCGCTCCGAGACGACGCAAACATATTTCCTCCCTGCTGCTCGTCCTATGTACTTAAACATATAATTGCAACGTCCAACACAAGACAAAAAGCTTTCTCTCAAAGAAGAGATTAGATCATTTGATGAAATTCCTGATGTTATTTAATGGCCACAGTGTATGAACATCAGCAGAACAAAGGAAACAGCGACTGTCCTCTCATGCATGTAGCAGTTATTGGACCCCGCTCCCCCCTTTTCTCCTTTCTGTTTCCCGTCAAACGGCAAGATGTTCTCACCTTAATTGTAAATGCACTTTTCTGAATGCAAATACCAGTGTCCCCCTCTACCAACCTCCTTTCCCCCCCCCTCGCTCCCCTCCGATTTTCAATTAAGATCCAGACAGAGATAGAGGATCTCAAAGGGAGTGCGCTCTGGTGGGTTGGGCCCTGCCGCTGCTCCAGACGTATTGGAGGAGGGGGGTTATTGAGTGGCCGTGACCCCGGAGCACCTTCACCTCACTGGGGGTATCACACATCTAGGCCAAGCTTCCCAATTATGGCGCATCCTGAATCTACTAAAGCAGAGGTGGAGGTGTCCTTGATTAGAATAGTCGTTGAAATGAAGGATTGAAACTGACTTTGTGTGCGAGTGTGTGTGTGTGTGTGTATTGAAAGTCGATGGTCATTATCTGATAGTAAAGGGGCGTTTTTGGGCTGAGGCTTGGAATTGTATGAATATTAATAGCTAGATTTTATTTCCCCGTCTTATTATCAGAATGGCCCCCAGACATGTAAGTGCAACTCGATGCAGATGATTACAAAACGTCTCTTTATTTAGATGAACTTCAGATTAAAGGAATGACCATCCGCTCGCCAGCATTATAATCCGTCCGCCTCTTTTTCTCTCTTTTCAAACTGTAGCACGCTAAGTCCAGACGCAGACGCTGACGGTTCATTCCAGAGGGAGGGCTTCGGACGCCAGAGCATGTCGGAAAAGCGCACCAAGCAGTACGAGAACGCCGCTCAGCTGGAGATCATCAAGACCCGCAAGTCCAAGAGCATGGATCTAGGTAAATGCTGCGCAATGCCCCCCGAACGCTTCACACATGAACGGAGTCGAGAGAGTAATTACAGGAGAAGTTTGACATTTTCAGAAATGGACTGTGCCTTTTCACCTTAGCAGTTTACAAAGCGCCCTAAAAAAACATTCTCCATTTACACACATTCACACACACCAATAGCTCGCCTGCCATCGGGAGCAACTTTGGGTTCAGTGTCTTGCCCGAGAACACCTCGGCATGTAAACAGGAGGACCTGGGATTGAGCTGCCAATCGTGTGATTAGTGGAAAACCTGCTCTGCCACCTGAGCCACAGCCACCCATACACTTGTTTGCCATTTTATAAAGGGTTATGCACTGGTCTGTTTATTGGCCATTACCTGTGTCTTCCCTGAGCCTCTGCTGGTTGCCTGGCAACATCCTGTAAAAACGGCAGAATGCTGTTTCTATAATTTCTTTTTTTGTGTGTGAATTAAACAAACGAGCTGCATGTCAGTTTGTGCGCTTCAGAGGTGCTGGTAAGCTCTGGACATTTGAACAGAGCCACGATGGCAGCTTCCACCTGTTTCTAGTATTTGTGTTAAGCTCAGCTATCCAGCTGATAAGGGGTAGCCTCATGTTTATTGTACAAATGTGGAAGTGGTATTAAATCCTCATGTGGCTCTCTGCAAGAAAGTGAATTAATATATTTCCCCCAAACTTTTCCTTTAAAGCATCATTTAGGTTTATTACAACTGGGTCTTATTGTCATTATATTCCATTACCTACAGAAGGACTTGTTGAGGCGTAGGAACATCCCGACAATGAAGCAGTCACAATAAAACACAGTCAGGCAGAATGTAAACAAGGAAACTGTTCAACCACCTACTTGTACCCATGTTGTTCTGAGAGTAAACACACCTGATTGGTTGGTAGTTTTCCACTGAGCAGGAAAAGTGTTTGCACGTACAAGTACAAGCGGTCAAAGCTGAAGTTTTTCTGTTACACTGATGAATGCAGTTTGGAACAGTTTTTCCATTCACGTAAGCCTTAAGCCTCGATGATACTCCCTGGCTGCCGTGTCCAAGGTCAGGTGCTGAATAACGCACCATTGTTGCTATTATACTACTTTTTGCTGTCCGTGGGAGTCGACTTAAAGACTCATCCAAACACGCACAGCAGTTTGTATCTGCGTCTTCTGCACATGTAGACTTTTGCGCCGCTGATCTTGTAGCATTGGCACTACTTAGACTGCTCCTTTCTGTATTGGACACACCCAAGTGGTGATGGACCAGGTCTCATTTTAACCTGTGCCTCCTCAAACTCTGAAAGATCTCCTCTTGTGAATAAAAGTTTTGTACCTTTTGAACAAGAGCACATGGTGTTCATGTGCTAGAAGACACGTCATTGGGGAAATAAGCAGTCGAAGTCCTGGCTGAGCGTTTCCACCGTGAAGCTGCAGTGTACCGGCGACGGTCTCGGAGACAGACTTCAGGGGTTTCATATGTCTGTAACAAACCGAAGGCACCAATCCTGTCAGCTTGCAGCTTACATTCATTGAAAAAACTTTACTTATAGCTTATACGTTTGTAACTTTGACACACAGATGAGATGTTGTTTAGGGATTTTAGTCAACGCCTGATGAGGGACTGCAATGTCACTCACCTTTTCCAGCTGCCTCAATATGGACACAGTAACCAGGAACGTATGCACTTTCAAAAACACTCCTGCACACGAATACACACAAGCACACAGGAGTCATTTCAGTCCTGTCCGGCCACCAACCTCTCCTCTTTCGGCCTCCATTTCCCATGGCCCTATGTCCAGTGGACCATGGGTAAAACACAAGAAGCAAGAGAACAATGGCCTCTTTAGTGACTTTCTAGTGATGGAAGGCCAATCAGAGGCGGGCACGCACATACACACAAGAGCACAAGCACCCGCTCAAACAGACAGACTGCATCTAGGGAAGGAGGCTGTGTGAGTTCAGAGCGTCTCCCACTGAGGCCGAGGCAGACGCTGCCTTCTCTCGGATCACTGGCTAATCATAACAGATAACAGCCAACTCTCTTCCACATGGAGCCCAGAGACCTGTGGAAATCTTTGACTGGTGCAGGTCCGGGCCACTGCACTCAGCTCTGCGGGGCCTACCTGGTCTGTGATAGCCGTACCCTCTGTCCACCATCAAAACTCGACTACAAAGTGAGCCCGGACAACAGAAAACTTTCAGTGGAAAAAAAGGATGACAGTGGGCCATCGGATAGGTTTCAGGGAGCAATCTGTTGAGCATAAATATGGTTTCCATTATGTTCTTAGTGTTGAAAATCTAATTGGATATTACAGAGAAGAGGAAGGGAGCAGGATGGGCAGGATGCTAAGATAACTCTTTGATGGTGTTCTCATTATGGCAAATGCACATTTTATCAATGAGTTTAATCAAAAAAGCTTCTTAATTGTTCCAAACTGGAGTCAGCAGTTATTTATGAATTCGATTAGTTCCCAACCGCAGTGAATGTTTTTTTTCCACAAAAGAAACTGGTTTATGCGTCGCTCTCGGGCTAACCAGCGTCATTGATCCTTTACAAACCCTATTATTGCCGTGTTATTTCAAAGTTATCACGATCCCTCTGCGTGTGTGTGTCTTATTATTAGATGTACTTCAGAATAACGTCCCCTCCTTTTCCACTTCTGCAGGGCCCAATTGAGTTTGTGAAATATCCAGCTAACAAAAATCCTTGCCAGTACAAGATCGTAATCCATCAGTGAGAATATCTCAGTGTTCAGATTGTTCAGGGAAATAACTAAGTTGTTCCTCTCGTAATAACTCTTGTAACTGACATGGGTTCCCAGAAGAAAAACGTTTCAGTCAATATAGGAAACTCCCCGACGTTCACGACTCGGCGTTCCAAATGAAAGCCCCATATTTTGATTCGGTACATATCTGATGTCACATAACTTCCATTTATCTCAAAGGCACACACGGCTATAGCACAGTGATTATTTTAATGAAATTATTACATCAAAGCCCCACAATGAGAAATGGCCTGTGGGTAATGTATAACAGAGCTGGAAATTAAATGAGCCAAAGAATGTAGTGCCAGTGTTTACCCTTAAGCTTTGTCTTTGCCACGCTGTCGGACATTGTAGTTTGTCTTCAGAAGTTATGTGAAGGAGCAGGTGTAAGGCTGCCTCTCTGCTTTCCAATAACACATTAATAAAGCTGCTCTGCGCTCTCAAGCTGCTCTGACTAAATAGTTAACACGCTTAAGAATGCTATTCCCTACAGACTCTCATTTTATTTTGTCACTAGGTATTTTTGTCCCTCCTTTTAATCATGTTCCAGGTGCTCCCAAATCACATTAGCAGATGGATTTCATGACTTTGAAGCCCATCATTGTTGAAATATGCTAAACTGGTCGACACCCCGCGGTTCAATCCCATTTAGATGGGGAACAAGATTGAAAGAGGGAAGAAAAGGGAAGAAAGAGACGTGAGGTGCCACGGCTGGCAGTAATATGTTAGCGCATTCCAGACACTTTGCTTTGTGCGCCTCGTGATGGACAGGCTCTTGTATGAGGTGTAAGATCTGTTCTGCTTAGATCATTGCTTCTGTCCTTCACTTTCTGATTCGGTCTCGTTTTGCTTTACATGTGTCTTTCATAGCAATAGCGCTAACTACTTGTTTACGCTTGTTAACGGTAGCAGGCGAGATTAACTGCAGCACAAGAGGTAAGCAGCCATGCAGAGACCAGCTCATTACACTGTCACCGTTATTACACTTGACCATTATTATTGTTCAGCTGGGTCCACGGGTCAATAATAGAGATTGAAAAAGCAGTCCTACTCTTTCTCCATAACTCGCTCATAACCAGCCATTATTGGATGTGTGATCTTGGCACCTTTAGATGCATATAGAAGAGAGTGTTGTTTGAGGTAATTGCAGCATGATCAAAAGAGGGTTTTCATATTGCTGAGAGGGAGTTGCATGACATTGAATAGAGATTTGGCAACTAATCTGGGAACCTGTGCCATTGTGCTCGTTCCGCAGTGCAAATGATTGAAGAAAACATTCATTACTCCAGGAGGTGTGGAGGGCTGGAGGGAGCCAGCAGTAGAGTGGCATTTGCGGTAGACGTTCATTGCCAGTTGGCCTCTTCAGCTCTCTGCAATTGATCTATCATCGTCAGGCTGTTTTGAACTTCAGTTGGAGCACATTAGAGTAAATTCACTGGAATAAATTAGCACAGAATGAGCTGATAACTGAGTCACAAACACTAATTGTAGACTGACATACCTGTTGTTTGCAGGGATAAAAATAATCTGATGCGTGCCTGTGTTGGGTGCAGAGAGTGAGATTTCAGTGCAGAAGTATAACCACTTGTCAACATCCTCCTGAACATACTGGTGGAGCCTATTTCCTTATCGAAAGTGGGCAACTGATCCAGTCACAGATAGGCCAGCGGTGGTAAATGAAAAAACCAGCTGATAACTTCGTCCTTACCGTAATTGTGAGCCTCCATTCCAGCCCAGTCTGTTGCTGATACAGTGGGTTGCTAGGCTTGGCAAAATATTTGGCAGCTTCTGCAAATGAGTAGTTGTGTTGCAGAGCGAGTAGGCGCACAGAAGAATGATGAACAGATTTTTTTTTAAATATAACATTTGCTGGATTTAATCAAAGCACTCAGCAAAAATACCCAGCATCCTTGATTGAGATGTTCACCATAAGTCCAGGTAATAATGAATCCTCGGTGACATGTTCAGCGTATGGAGGACGTCCTCTGTCGGGCTAATGATCCACAACTGGCAGAGACATAATAGCGCCTCCGACCCAGGGACGCCTCACTTCCACTGGGATACCTGGACATGGCCTTCCTTCGACCACCTTGGAGGCTATTTTTAACATAATTACCCTTTTACCGCCCTGCTTAAAGCCCTGACTCTCTGAATAAATTATGTGTAATGGAGCCCCTGTCTGTACACAGATCTTTACATGCAAGGGCCTGTGGTGAATAATGGCTGGAAAGCATAGTTT